ACAGGAAATGTTGGCCCAACCAGTCCGCCCTATGAATAAGCAACACAAAAGCATCTTGCGTTCATAAACGACGTGCTATTGTTCGTCAATCTTTTTTTTTCTCTTTCTCTCACTCAATCTGATACAAAATTCAGAATATAAAGGCAAGCAGATTCCATGTTGATCGTTGTGTGTAACAAGGCATCCGATATACGGCCATTTCTTTTTACACTTCGGTCATTAAATACGCATTTATGTTTTGCCATTGTTGTGCCATATTACACACAGAGATACATTTGTATGTTGTAAAAATGTTGCGCCTTTTTTTATATCGCCGCACAACAAAAAGTGTCGTTCACTAACGTTTGTTGTTGCTTCGCAATGTTCGTAATCAAAATGCTGGCCATTGAAATTCGTTTGATGCATTGTTTACGAATGAATGTATCCTTTAGGGGCTATTGCACAACCACTTTATTGCTTCTGTTTTTTTAAAGAATGTAACAACACACTTTTCTTTTACTCTAAGCGCACGTCCAACCACGTGACTTTTACGCCTCTATTCAAAATTTATTCCCTTTTTTGATCGGATTCGTTTAAAAAAATTCCTTTATCACATACCATATGGCCGGCCGACTTGATAACAGCAACCATGTCAACAAAATGTACAAAAGAATATTAAATCAGCTTCTGAGTTCATATGCTGATTTCATTCTTCGCTTTTTTTGAATGACAATTAAATGGCTATTCAGTCAAAAAGTCCTTCAAATTGAAGCTGTTCGTTTAGAAACCACTGTCAAACTGACAGTATAAATTTTTTTGTTCGATTTTGTTTATGCGTGGTTGTTTTCATCCTTGCAGGTGTTCCCAGTGAAAAAGGTTCAAGTATGCATAAGTTAATACTATCATGTTCAATCGAATGCGCCCTTTTTCTCAGAAAAAAAATGTTGTAAAAAATGCGTTTCGTTCATGATTCTGCCATTCAACAAACATCCACACATTTTTGCACAGCTCGTGTGTGTTTTTTTTTTCTATTTTAACTTATTCAACTGAATGCATAGAAATATAGTTTCAAGTGTGTTTATTCGGTCACCATTTCGTTCTAACCATCTCTCACCGATTCCAAATTTTTTGTATGTAATTGACCCGCTTAAAATGCATCCGAGAGTATAGTTACAGTGAAATCCACTTATTGTCATTCTCTCAACACTCGAGTAAATATTATATTGCCTTCATTGGATAGAGAAATAAAAAAACTTATCGGTGCTTCCGTGATGAATTCAAAATATTCACTGTTGATTTAAGTATACGAATAGTTTGTGTATAAAATTCAGTCTGTGCTTGTTCTGTCAGTCTTGCTCTTCCGTTCATCGTGGCAAAAAAATGTTCCCAGGAAACATGATTTGAATGCTGAAAGATAGATGGAAGCGACAGAGTTAGTAGTGAAAAATCTACCACTGTAAAACACGTCCACACCATACGGGAGAGAGTTTATACACTTCGTTTACCAAATGGTTTTTTTTAAAATCTATTTTCCATTTTTTTTTTTGTGTTGGCAAAAAGCAACAAATTAAAAATGAACTTCGCCATTGCGAGAAATTAGTGTAGTTTGCACGAGTAAACGAATTACACATAACATATGCAAGAATTGTGTTAAAATTTCTCGCGGGCGTTCAAATCACAGTTTATTTTTCACACTCGCTGTGATCTTCTACTCATTTTCACTCTCACATTGTGCACAACATCCGATGAAATATTTCATTGAGAGTTTTCCCGTTCTTTTTACGCGCCATGTATTTGTTGAAATGCGTTTTAAATTCCATTCATAAATGTGAGTATCATACTTTCGAATGGAAATGTTGAGATTCCGTAACGGATGTTTATAAACTAGGTTGAAAAATTGATGAAAATACGTTGTTGTCGATTTTGTTGATGCCACACTCGTGTGAACGACTGCCAGCCCATGTCACATCAAATAAACATGTTTCAATACAAACAAAACGAAATAACAAATAGCAATACCAAAGCGATTACTACTGAGTGCGTAATCTGCACAAATGATGACGTATACAACGGGTTTTTTCCCTTCCAAAATAAATTGAAACGAAAAGAAAAACAAATAAATTTATTGTCACCGAAATTCACGGTATTTTGACACTGAACTATGATAATAATAGCAGCAATAATGACGAAAGAAGAGTGATCGAATAACTGAGAGAGAGAGAGAGAGAGAGATGTGACGAATGCGAAGAAAAAAGACGATGTATGTATAAGAAAAGCGATACACGCGTCAAGAAAAACTTTATTTTGATCATGTTAATATTGTCGCATGGGAAATGATAACAGTGCCTTTTTCCGTTTTCGATGAAACGAATCGGGTGTATGTTTACTTGTTTCAAACGCGTTTACAGTGCTGATGGCGCATACTTCGCATTGGTGCGTACATTCTTCTGAGAAGGCGAACAATTGTGCTTTCATTCAACATGGTGTTGTTGTTGTCGTCGTGGTTGTTATTGTTACTGACAGACTTATTTTTTATACCTGCAAATATAGTGTCATTGTTGTTGTTTGTCAGCATTACTTTTGTCAGAATACTTGGTGACTTTTTTGCTGGTTTTTCATTTATTTGTTTTCATTTCGAATCAAATGAAAAAAGAAGAGAAATAGTCTAAATTGTTTGCGAATGGTTTATTTCTTTTGCCGTTTGTGTGTTCTTTCATTACTTCTTGGTTGAACATTTTGCTATAATTCTACATTATCCGACGTTTGTGCCGATTTAATCTTTCTCCTTTTTAACGGGATACGGATAAAGTAGAAAAATTCCACTCAATTACACTGGAAGCAAAAAATGCACCACAATATTACATGGGAAAAACTTACTTTTCTGCAGATAACATACCAAATGATAACTAACATATGTATTATTATGTGGTTTTTTAATCAATATTCGACGATTCGGTTTTGAACAGCATACAAAAGAAACTATCCACTTTTTATCGCAAAAATATTGCGCTTTTTTATCGCAAAATGGAAAAAGTGCTGGGAGAAATGTAAAAATCCTTGTTTCTTATAGTGATGCTTTTTCTACTTTTTATTATATAACTATTTTAATGAATATATAAGGGGCCACTAGTTACAATACATTCACCTGAGTGAAACGAAAAAGTTAAACATAATGAGAGAGAGAGAGTGAATGAGCTTTGCTGGTATGAGGGTATGATTCTTTCATGCGTCACAAGTAATGACTCTATCTTAATAACACGTTTATCTCTTCTTCAGATGAGAATACCCTGGAAACGTTTTTTAACAACTGTACATTTGTTCATCCATAGCAGAGAAGCTAAAACTGAAAACGATGCATGGCTGTGTGACACTCACGATTATTTCTCGTGTATCTTGATAAAATCTTGTTTGCAATGCACATTGCACATCCATTTACAAACTGAACTCATTAATGTGCATATTCTTTAAATATTGACGCATTCCATTTCTTTTTGTTTAACTTTAAATAGTTTAATGTTTCGGGTATATTTAATTTGTAAATATTTAAAAGAAAGAACTTTTCTATTTTCTATTTACATTCTGATTAGGTCAACAAGTAGTCTTCTTGTATTTTAGGTCAGTGCTCAAACGAAAGTGACACAGGATGATATAAAGTGAAGAAAAATACACACGTTTATATATGACTAAATGGATGAAAAAAATGTCGAAACACATGAATTGTTCTGGGAAAGCTTTTCACATCTTCCATGTGATTTGAATGTTTTCACAGTGACGTTTGTTGGTAGAATTTTTTTGCTGCCGTTTTTTTTGTTTGTTTGTTCTGATTGAACACAAAAGTGTCTGTATCAAAATGAATATATGCTCTTCATATTGTATTGACTGTGAGTATAAGATGAATATGTGGCCGGCATATTTCTCCACTGGCCATCACACATTATCTCACTCACTTGTTGACAATTTGGATTGTGCTTTAATGCGCTTAATGCTAACAACGGCAAGCAACTGCACAAAAACACATTCATTTATTTCAATGAAGTGGTCCCGTGAATACGTCTCTCCATTTCATTCATTGTTTGTTTGTGTATGTTCTAGACAAGATGTTTATGCTTTTCTTGTGCGATTTTTTTCTCTCTCGTTTCTTTCCGTATATTACTTTATGCTACTTGTTTTTTGCTACGTCTTTATTAGTAGATTTAATATTGTAGTAAAAGGCATATTGCAGCTATTCGTGAAAGTGTCTATATTATGAAGTGATTTGGCTTTGCAAGCTATTATGCATACACATTTGAACACACACACGACTTTGCACATTTGCATATGTCAGCATCCAATTTAATGGGGGTTTCTGCCTTTTCTTGCATGATAAGTGTCGTCGTGCATTAAGAAAAAAATTAACATAGAGGCACTTGCAATGTGTGCTTTTGAATGCGTATCCGAGAAGGTCGAGTGAGAGAGAGAGAGAGAGAGAGAGAGAGAGAGAGGGAAAAACAACATTTGTAGTGAAAAAAAAAACATGTGATACATTTAAACTACGATGTGACAATGAATCGAGATTCAAGAAGATTATTTATTCGGAAATTGAAGTTCGTGTTCTCTCACCTTTCTCACTGTTTTCCGCAACACGAACAAAATCAATACGAAGTACTCTGTGCATTCTTTTGGCTCTTGGCTTATATGCTTAGAGTGGCATCAAAAGGGAGAATAAGTAAGGAGAGAGATAGACGTTTTGTAGCTGCATGGAATTTGCTGATTCATTTTTCATTTTAAAACTGTTGGCATGTTACACTGAAAAACACACATATGCTCATTACCTTCCGACCAAAATGTTACAGAGAAAAACCGCTTAAAATTCAATTTTCATTCACGGATACACAAACAATTTTTCAAATTTTCCATTCATTAATTTAAAATTGCAACGTTCGCAATATTTTTTTCGTCTGAAATTCAAAAAAAAAGAAACTCTAATGAAAAATTCTTTCTACAATGTTGATTTTTCTTCTCTTTTTTTTTTGTTCCTTTAGGGTATATTACGAAACACCAAACGCTACCAAACGTATAGAAACCCGGAAATAAAAAAGTTTGAAAGGTTGGTTCAAAATAAATTTCAAAGTACTTACGCTCAACTCAAAAACGACGACGACGAAAAATCATTTTTGGCCAGTATTTCTCTATATACGGTGCATCAAATTACTCTTCCTATAGCTTTAATTAAATATTTTTAAACAAACACGATTTACTTCAAGAGACGCACGTGTTGCAAACGAGGTGCAAAAATCAATCGGAAGCAGTATTTTAAATAAAAAATAGCTGAAATTACGGAGAAATACACACAAATAGTAAGCAATTGCAATTTAAAAAAAGAAAGTCCGCAGAGACCGCAGAAAAATTCAACCTCGACCAAAAGAGAAATACCAACGCCGTAGTGAAGATTAAATTAAGTTTGGTGCAGCGCAGAAAGTGATTCAGAAGAGGAGATAATAACAAAACAAAGAAGATTCCAAACAAAACTAACAAAAATCGAACGAAAATTTTATTATCGTTGATCGAAAAGGAACATTTTTGTTGTGTCGGGAATTTTTCGCATTTTAAAATTCGGAGAAAATAGAAATTAAAAAAAAAAAAATGTCGTCACGCGTAACAATCAGTGGTGATGGTGGTGTTAGTGGTAGCCGCAGCAATCAATCGTCAAGTCAGCGAAGACAACGTTCAAGGTGAGTGTTTGCAAGATGAAAAAATAATTTGTCATCATAAATGTTAGCAAAAATTAAATGAACCCAAATGTTTTTTTTTTGTTGGATTATTTTTTAATCCACTACCCTGTGTACCACTTCATTTTAATTTGATTGATTCGTTGTCATTAATCACAATAAGCCGAAATGACGTGAAGTATGAAACGAAGTGGTTATGTTTGTTTTTAAGCTTCACTGCACTTTTATTTGCAGGCAAACGAGAGTAAAAAAGTTTTGGTTGCCTTGATTCTAAGAAATTGCTATCGGCCACAAACCTTTTTCGTTTTTTCTTCGTCCCAACACATTTCATCAAATTTACAATTTTGTTGACGTAATAACATTTTTTTTCAAAAACAAAATGACGAAAACGATAAGCTTTCAAAGTGATCAATGGAAAGACATCAAGTGTATTTCCTCTAGAGCCGGGCTTCATTTCGATTTGATTTATTTCATCATATATTAATGAGATAAAACGAATTACGTGACACACATATTGAAATTTAAGGAGGATGAGAAAGATATATAGTGTTGTATTTCTTGTCACAACGATTAGATGATGCTCGGATGAGTGTGTATAACATAGGCATGGACATACTCTTCATATTCTTCTCTTCGATAATAACAGAGACATTTGATTTACTAACTCACTGAAGATGAGAACTTTGGCTCGTATTTGCTAGAAATACGGTCGCTAATCTTAAAATACCAAACGCCCGCATCAACTGATTGAAATTGTCAGCAGCTTCGCTTGGCTTTTTGCAATGGAAAAAGAAAGCAGTGCCAAATTTCGCAAGAGAAAAATCATGACCGCACGTAAACATTATCTATTGTCTTTTCCTAACACATTTTGCATATCATTTCGTTTAATAAACAAAGCCCATCTCAAAAATATTAAGCCGTTTGGTACTCTGGCCACCAACACACTTCATCTAAGCTGCTTCCCTTTTTTGGTGAATACTCACATCTACATCAAATTGATGAATCGCAATATATGATGTTGCGTTCTATTTGCTGATCTGATTTATAAAACCATTCAAAAGGGTCGCAAAAAACGGATTAACGAAAGTATATATCTTTTATTTTGTATCTTTTAAAATGTTCTTTGAGAAAAGCAAAAATAAACGTTGATGATGAAGATGATGGACCGAAAGTTGCGCAGTTATAACTTCGGGCAATATTTTTTTTATTCCGAAAATCCAATATGTTGCCGGCAAAGTTAACGGCGACGACGAAGAACGTTTCGTGTTAGGCTTTGATGAGGATTTATAGGTTTAGTTACAATTCAAAGAAATGTACAGATTCATCTGAGTGATCATCCAACCAACAAAGACAATCAACGAACACAATCCAAACACATATACACGCATATAAAAAGGCGTATTCGCGCACACGAGATGAAAAAAAAATAATGTAGAAGCAATACACAAACATATAAAATAAATTGTAGAATGTATAACATATCAAGCCTCTTTTGTATCATTTTGACATGTATTTGATGTAAACAAATACATAGAACAACGAGATGGAGATTGTATGTTTGCGGTAGACAATGTATAATATTTTGCCCGAACATATTGGAGCGAACAACAAAATGCTTGTACCTAAACAGCAAACTTCCTGCAAATATGTTTTGAATGAACAACTAATAGAGCGATTTCAATGTGCTTTTCGGCTAATTTGTACGCGGTCGGCGTGTTTCATTCCAGCTAACCACAAAAACGTTCAAAAAGAGAATACTTGTTGATAGAATCACGTGCCCATCCGATAACTGTGATGTGTGTGTGTGTGTATCAGTGTTATTTCTACAACACCCCAATTTCAACGGATTTACTAATTTGTCTCGACTGCACATTTTTTACCCTCTTTCTCTTTTTTTTTCTCTCTGTCATAACATCAGAAATTGTTCGCATTTTTTCAGTGTCGGGCTTTTTACCATCATTTTTCATACTCTGCACATTTTGTTCTCTATTTTTTTTTACACAGGCGAGAATCTGCTCACAAATGTAGAACAGTATAGAATAGATAAAAGAAAAAAAAAAACAATTCGCAAAACTTAAGCTTTATGGAATACTACAGACAAAAAAATTAGTAGATGCTCATGCTTATAATAAAATATGTTCGCTTTTGTTTGAATAACTTATTCACATTTTCGCCAACAAATTTGTGAATAGAAAAAAAGCCAAAGTCACGTGATCAATCGCATCTCCTTTGAACCTTCTCGAATTGAAACCATGATTTATATGAATCAATATATCCTCTTCAGTTCGGTTCGTACTCGTTCGGCATAAGTTTGTGTGCATGATAAATAAATAATATTAAACGAATGTATTCATAAAACAAAAGAACAAAAAAAAAATTACGAGCCGAGCAAGAACGTTTTTTGAATTGAATTGACATAACAATAAATATAATGAAAAAAGCTTTTCTTCGTTCAAAAAGCGTTCACAAAAGAATCGTACCGGTCAAATAAATAGAAAGTTAGTTGATATGAGCACAATTTTAAAAGTATTTGTGTCGCTTTTTATTTCCGATTTCTTGGGAAATCTTGAAATAATCAACGTGCTTAAGCCATTGCTTTAAATTTAAACTTAGAAATGGAAGTTATTAGATTGGCTTACATTATGTCCATCGGTCACTTAAACAAAAAGAATAACGCATTTTTGTCGAAGGTGCATTCGATTTATAAGAATGGAAAAAGTAAATTAATATTAACCATCAATTCCCGAGTGGAAAAAACTATAGTTAGCTTTATTCATGAATTTTACAATTTTGTATGGAAAACAATCGACTATAGTTACTCAGTCAGTCAGGCGATTATTTTGGACGTTTTGACTATCGGGTGACTATGATTATTGTCAACGATAGCTAGCTGATGCAGTTAATCATAGCTTACTTTAATTGATTGAAGTTAACTGAGGTTGCTTGTTTTTACAGTCAATAGTCAGTCAGTTTGTCCCAAAATAGTCAGTCACTTTTTTTGTACACGGGTTGGCACCTCATCGACGTTCTTCATCGCTCACCTTAGAACTTTTCAATCGCACCATGGGTATGCAATTTTGGTAAATTTAAGTGTGCCGTTTACATATTTTCATACCTTTTATTATTTTTGTCGCATTTTCATCGCGCCCTTAGTATCTTTTGTGATGGATTTTTTTATATTTTCTCGTTCTGTTTTTTTTTTCTTTCTTCAAATATACGTTTGTCCGTAATGTTTTTCTTTTGCTGATATAATGGAAATGTTTCATAATATTTTGTGTACAATGGTTTTGTCGGCCTCCAATCCTTTTCTCACCAAATTCTTTTTCTGCATTTTTTTTGCGCTCGGCTGTCTCACTCTTTCTTCATTGTTATTTCATCCACTTTTATATCTATTTTGTCGGTTCGATTTTTTGCGTTTGATTACATTTACTGAGGGATATGTATTCAGGCTGACAGCCCAATACATGCCCGACTCTATCGCTACGAACATAAAAACGAAATATTGTGATGTGCTTCATAGAGTGTATGAAAACGTCGAGCAAAAAATAATAATGACGAACACAAAAGAAGAGAGAGAGAGAGAGAGAGAGAGAGAGAGAGAGAGAGAGAGAGAGAGA